CATTCATTTGCTCACTTATGAAAATGTTTATTGTGGCAAGTAGTCTTCTAAAATGGCCCCCAGCAATGCTGCCTCCTGGTATTCATGCCCTCATCCAGTATCTTTCCCTATGTGCAGGCTGGACCTAGTGAGGTGCTTCTAGTAAACAGAATATAGCAAAAATTGACTGGATGTCATTTCTAAAATTAGCTTACTAAAACACTCTAGCTTCCATCCTCGGTCTCTTCCCTTGTTGTGATCTCCCCTAACAGAGTGGCCCTTGTGGCAAAGAACTGAAGGAAGCCTCTGGTCAACAGGTCAACAAGAACTGATATCCTAGGTCCAGCTGCCAGCAAGGAACTGAGGTCTGTCAACGGCCACCTGAATAAGCCTGAAAGTGAGGATTCCTCCCATCTAAACCCTTGAGACAGTGCAGCCCCCCGCCACAACACTGATTGCAGTCTTGTACAGGGAGATCCTAAATCAGAGAACTTAGCTAAACTAACCTAGATTCCTAATCTATATAAATATGTGAGATACAAATGTCTATAAGAAGCTACCGGCTCACGCCTGTAATCCTAGCACTTTGGGAGTCCGAGGTGGGTGGATCACCTGAGGTCAGGAGTTCAGGACCAGCCTGGCCATCATGGTGAAACCCCATCTTTAAAAAAAAAAAAAAGAAGCTAAGTTAGGGGTAATTTGTTATGCAGCAGTAGATAACTAATATACATATTTATAGTATAATACTTCAAATATTGTGCCCACACACAGGTCACTCATGCCTGTAATCTCAGCACTTTGGGATGCTGAGGCATCACTTGAGGCCAAGAGTTTGAGACCAGCCTGGTCAACATGGCAAAACCCCGTCTCTACTAAAATATAAAAATTAGCTGGGTGTGGTGGCACGCACCTGTAATCCCAGCTACTCAGAAGGCTGAAGCATGAGAATCGCTTGAACCCAGGAGGCAGAGGTTGCAGTAAGCCGAGATTGTGCCACTGCACTCCAACCTAGATATCACAGTGAGCCTCTGTCTCAAAAAAAAATTGAATTTAAAATTTAAATTTAAAAATAGAGATGCTATGCTTCACTACAAAAAAAATCTGGTGGCTATAATGGGAGGATTGCTTCTTTGATACACCTAGCTCTGGTAAATGAATCTTTATATATTACATAGAAGTTATGGCACTTATTTAACTCACACTGGACTACAACAAATCATCCATTAGGTTAGAGCATATTCAGAGTGAGACAAGCTATCTTTTGTTTGAGGTTACTGAAGTAAATAATACTTGATTTGCCCTTCACTTATCATTCTAATACAATTGTGCTGGTTGGTGTTTCACTTCTTTGTGATGTTAATTTTAATGTGTGCATGTGTGCTTATTCCTGTTACACAGTTTACTTTGTGCTCTTTCCTTACCACTTCCCCTAGTGCTTTCCCTCTACTTCTTGGCCTGATGCTGGTAAGACACTGATTTTCAGAGTCATAGGCAGGCAGTAGTATTATTGTCCCTTTCTTTCTACCTCTCCATTGCCTTTTACCAGCTAGAGGTGTTACTTCTTGCATAATGATCAGATCTGTGGCTCTTTGAGTAACTGTTCCTGGAACAGCTTAGTGTAGTATTCTCAAAGCACAGTCTCTGTACCAACAGTGGGCTCTGTCAGTCTATCATATGCTCCACAAGTAGCCTGGTATAATCATAAATTTAAAAGGTAATTATGATTTTCCACAGAAACCCTGCTGTTCTTGTGTAATATATAATTCAAACTCATAAAAATTGTTTTAACTCATAAAAGCAGAGATGAAACAATTCACAGATGGCAGAATTCAAACTAATGATGTGAAAACAAACAAGGAATAGGGCTTCAATGAAATGTGTAACGTCAATCAGTATGAACTGGGCAAATGAATTTGTAACTGTGATGTCTATGCCAAGTACCTAGAAAAGTGTGAATGAGAAGTGTACTAATAAGTATCTGAAAACTGTTTAACAGTTTTTTACATTTTATGTTTTGCTTGTTTTACAAACAAAAGGATGTTTTTTAACATCCTTTTGCTTCTAGTGGCCGGTGTTATCTAGTGTAATCTTTTTTCAGATAGTGGCATGAAAGATCAAAGCTTTTGAATAATTTTCAAAATAAACTAACTCTCTGCTCAACCAAGTAAGGCTTTTTTTTTAAATCTTTTTAATTAAAAAAAATTTTTTTTTCTTTAAAGACGGGGTTCCACCATGTTAGTTGGGCTGATCTTGAACTCCCGACCTCAGGTGATCCACCCACCTTGGCCTCCAAAGTGCTTGGATTACAGATGTGAGACACCACGCCCGGCCCCAAGTAAGGTTTTATAAAACAAGGGCAAAATATGCTCCTCTGAGTAAACTGATGCTTTTATTTTTCCTGTATATAGCTACCCTCCTTTTGAGAGATGATGAATTATTTAACAAAAAACCAGAAGGTTAAAACTATAAAAGCATTGTTTATACTTGTACTTATAATAGAAAAGCATTATAAAGAAGCTTTTTAAAAAATTCACAAAGTTCATGACATATTTGATGAGTAAGCAAAAGGTACAAAATTCTGTTAATATATGATGTGGCTGGGTATTTTATAATGCTGATAGCATGCAATGCGGAAGAGTTAACACTATAACATGGTAGCAGGTGTTTTTGCTTTACAGTTGGTACAAACCACAAATATTTTTTAAAAATCAGCTCATTATATAATTATAGATAGTCTATTTGAGAAAAACATGAACAATGAGTTCTGGTTTATCACTGACATCAAAACGGAAGAAAAGTTATTTCCAGTCGAGTGAAACCAAAACATAAACTGAACTACAATATCACTGAAAAGATGAGCTGAAATCTGAACTTTACCTGTGTACATACGAAGTTATAGAAGAGGTTGCAAGTGAATGCCTAATCATCATGTTACTTTAGACTTCAGTATGTAATTGGCAATCAAAAATACACTTCCCACACTCAATGTGGTCAGAATGGTCATAATGTTTTTTCCATAGAAAGAAAACGTTATTGAATATATTGAATTTTCCATCTTAATACAAACTGGCTATCGCAGGAAAAAGAATTTACATTTCAATAAACTGAAAACATCCTAATGATCATATATAATTTCTAGACCACTGCTCAAGGGGTATGTATGTCAGGAAATACAATGGAAATTTTAAATAGCATGAACACAAGCCCACCTCATTTTATTGTGCCTTAATTTATATATTACTTTTTATAAATTGAAGGTCTGTGGCAATCCTGTGCCCAGCAAGGCTATTAGCGCCATTTTTCCAACAGCATGGAAAACGTGTCTCTGTGTCACATTTCGGTAATCCTTAAAATGTTTTCATCATTATTGTAACTAGTATAGTGATCTGTGATTGATGTTAATGCTGTAATTGTTTTGCGGAGCCAAGGCCCACACCCGTACACCAAAGTGATGCACTGATACATGTTTGTGTTCTGGCTTCTTCACTGGGCAGCTGTTCCCTGTCTCTCCCTCTCCTCGGGCCTCCATCTTCCCTGAGACACAACAATATTAAAATTTGGACAATTAATAACTCCAAAATGGTGTCTAATAATTGTTCAGGTGCAAGGAAGAGGCACACATCTCTCACTTTAAATCGAAAGCTAGAAATGATTAAGCTTAATGAGGAAGACATGTCAAAAGCCAAAACAGACCAAAAGCTAGGCCTTTTGTGCCAGTTAGCCAAGATATGACTATAAAGGAAAAGTTGTCAAAGGAAATTTAGAGTGCTACTCCAAGGAACACACAAATGATAAGGAAGCACAACAGCTTGACTACTGATACGGAGGCAAGTTTTAGCCTGGATAGAAGATCAACCAGCCACAACATTTCATTAAACCAAAGCCTAATCCAGATCCTAACTCCGTTCCATTCTACGAAGGCTGAAAGAGGTGAGGAAGCTGCAGAAAAGTCAAGCCATATTTGTAACAAAAAAGTACAAAGCTGCAAGTTCTTATATAAAAACTTCACCAAGTTATACAGAAGATCTAGCTAAGTGAGTTGATAGATGTGGCTACACTAAACAGATTTTCAATATAGACAAAATAGCATTCTATTGAAAGAAGATTCCATCTAGAACTTTCAGAGCTAGAGAGGAAAAGTCAATGCCTGGATTCAAAGCTTCAAAGGACAGGCTGATGCTCTTGTTAGGGGCTAATGCAGTTGGTAACTTTAAGTTGAAGCCAATGCTCACTGACCATTCCAAAATTCCTAGACCTTTTAAAATTATGGTAAGTCTACTCTGTCTGTGCTATAAATGAAATAGCAAAGCCTGGATGACAGGACATCTGTTTACAGCATAGTGTACTGAATTTAAAATATTCAGCTCACTGTTAAGACCTGAATTTAGAATATTTAGCTCACTGTTTAAGCTCACTATTGAGACCTATGCTCAGATAAAAAGATTACTTTCAAAATATTACTGCTCTTTAATAATGCACCTGGTCATCCAAGAGCTCTAATGGAGATGTACAAGGAGATTAATGTTGTTTACGTGCCTGCTAAAACAGCACCCATTCTGCAGCCCCATGGATCAAGGAGAAATTTCAAATTTAAAGTCTTATCATTATTATTATTATTATTATTATTTTGAGACAGAGTCTTGCTTTGCTGCCCAGGCTGGAGTACAGTGGCACCATCTCAGCTCACTGCAACTTCCATCTCCTGGGCTCAAGCGATTCTCCTGCCTCAGCTTCTCAAGTAGCTGGGACTACAGGCATCTGTCACCACACTTGGCTAATTTTTGTGCTTTTAATAGAGATGGGGTTTCACCACGCTGGCTAAGCTGGTCTCGAACTCCTGACCTCAGATGATCTGCCCACCTGAGCCTCCCAAAGTGCTAGGATTACAGGCATGAGCCAATTCCTTAGATGAACCTGGGCAAAGTAGAATGAAATCCTCTGGAAAGGCTTCACCATTCTAGATGCCATTTAAGAACATTTGTAACTCATGGGAGGAGGTCAAAATATCAACATAAACAGGAGTTTTGTAGAAGGTGATACCAATTATCACGAATGACTTTGGATGGTTCAAGATTTCAATGGAGGAAATAACAGCAAATGTGGTGGAAATAGCAAGAGAACTAGAATTAGGCTGAGTGTGGTGGCTCACACCTATAATCCCAACACTTTGGGAGGCAGAGGCAGGCAGATCACTTGAGCTTACAAGTTCAAGACCAGATCTGGCCAACATGGCGAAACCCCATCTCTACTAAAAATACAAAAAATTTAGCGGGGCATTGTGGTACACGGCTGTGGAACCAGCTACTTGGGAAGCTGAGGTGGGAGATGGCTTGAACCCGGCAAGTAGAGGGAGGCTGCAGTGAGCCAAGATCGTACCACTGTACTCCAGCCTGGGCAACAGAGCCAGACTGTCGCAAAAAAGAAAAAAAAACAAAAAAACAGAACTAGAATTAGTGGAACATGAACAACTAGATTTAGTGGAACATGAAGATATGACTGAATTGTTGCAATTTCGTAATGAAATTTCACAGATGAGGAGTTGCTTATTACAGATAAACACATAAAGTGGTTTCTTGATATAGAATCTACTTTTGGTGAAGATCCTATGAACAAAGTTTAAATGATAACAAAGGATTTAGAATATTAAATAAACTTAATTGATAAAGAAGCAACAAGGCTTGAGAGGACTGGCTGAAATTTTCAAAGTTTTGTTGTGGGTAAAATGCTATTAAACAGCACTGCATGCTACAGAGAATCTTTCATTAAAGGAAGAGTTAATCGATGCGGAAAACTTTATTGCCTTAATTTTAAAAATTGCTACAGCCACCCCAACCTTGATCACTCAGCAGCCATCAATATCAAGGGAAGATCCACTACCAGCAAAAGATTACAACTAGCTGAAAGCTCAGATGGTCATTCAAATTTCTGCAATAAAGTTGTTTTGTTTTGTTTTGTCTTGTTTTGTTTTTAAGATGGAGTCTTCCTCTGTTGCCAGGCTGGAGTGCAGTGGCGCAATCTCAGCTCACTCCAACCTCTGCCTCCCAGGTTCAAGCAATTCTCCTGCCTCAGCCTCCTGGAGTAGCTGATATTACAGGTACGCACCACCATGCCCGGCTTTTTTTTTTTTTTTTTTTTAAGTACAGGTGGGGTTTCACCATGTTGACTAGGCTGATCTCAAACTCCTTCCCTCATGATCCGCCTGTCTCGGCCTCTCAAAGTGCTGGGATTACAGAAGTGAGCCACTGTGCCCAGCCACAATAACGTATTTTTAAATTAAGGCATGTACATTGTTACTTTTGAACATAATGCCATTATACATTTAACAGACTACAGTATGGTATAAACATAACTTTATATGCACTAGGAAACCGAAACCTTCATGTGGCTTGCTTTATTGCAGTGTTCTAGATATAGGGCACAATACAATAAATTTAATTTTTAATTTTAAAGTCAGGCTTGGCTGGGTACAGTGGCTCACGCCTGTAATCCCAACACTTTGGGAGTCCGAGGCAGGTGGGTCACCTGAGGTCAGGAGTTCGAAACCAGCCTAGCCAACATGGTGAAACCCCTAAGATACAAAATTAGCTGAGCATGGTGGTACATGCCTGTAACAATCCCAGCTACTTAGAAGGCTGAGGCAGGAGAGTCACTAGAACCTAGTAGCTGGAGGTTGCAGTGAGCTGAGATCACACCATTCCACTCCAGCCTGGGTGACAGAGCTAAACTCCATCTCAAAAAAAGAAAAAAAAGTGTCACGTTGGGTGTGGTAGCTCACGCCTGTAATCCCAGAACTTTGGGAGGCCAAGAAAGGTAAATCACGAGGTCAGGAGTTCGAGACCAGCCTGGCAAACATAGTAAAACCCTGTCTCTACTAAAAATACAAGAATTAGCCAGGCGTGGTGGCGTTTGCCTGTAATCCCAGCTACCTGGGGAGGCTGAGGCAGAAGAATTGCTTGAACCCGGGAGGTGGAGTTTGCACTGAGCCAAATCACGCCACTGCACTCCAGCCTGGGTGATACAGCGAGACTCCATCTCTCTTTCTCTCTCTCTCTCTCTCACACACACACACACACACACACACACACACACAGTAGCCAGTGTGGTGGTGCATGCATATAATCCCAGCAACTTGGGAGGATGAGGCAGAGAACTGTTGAACCCAGTAGGTGGAGGCTGCGGTCAGCTGAGATGGCACCAAGGCACTCTAGCCAGGGTGACAGAGCGAAACTCCACCTCAAAAAAATAAAAATAAAAATAAACAAATAAAAGCAAATATGGCGCATAAGGGTTGATCTTCAAGAAATTTACTTTCCCCAAGGCGGGTGGATCACCTGACGTCAGGAGTTTGAGACCAGCATGACCAACATGGTGAAACGCCACATCTATTAAAAACACAAAAATTAGGTGGGCATGGTGGCAGGGCTTATAATCCCAAGCTACTCAAGAGGCTGTGGCAGGAGAACTGCTTGAACCCAGGAAGCGGAGGTTGCAGTGAGCTGAGATCACATCATTGCACTCCAGCCTGGGCAACAAGAGCAAAATTCCATCTCAAAAAAAAAAAGAGAGAAAGAAAAAGAAAAGAAAAAAAATAACTTTCCCACTAGGAGTAACCAGGAAGCAGATTAGTATTAAATGTGCCAATACCTCAATTTGGACTATTCAAACTGTTAGCATTTTAGAGGGACAAAGCTCATCAACGGTCTGAGAGTAAAAGAAACAGCCACCGGTAGAAAATTATTCTTGATTTCTGCAAGTTCAATCTGTATATTCAGAATTATCTGGGCAAGTCATTGCTTGCTACCAATTCAGCAAACTGTAATTTTAAATTAGCATAGAAATTAGCATAGGTAGTAGAAATTAAGAGAGGAAATGAAACATACTAAACGGGGAACCTGTTCTATATAGTTCAAGCTCATGAGCCCCTAATATACAATATCACTTTCACAAATTTGGTTTATTATGAATAACTGTTATTTTAGGTACTATTTATTATTACTATTATTTTTTATTTATTTTTATTGTATTTATTTACTGATTGATTGATAGGGTTTTGCTGTGTCACCCAGGCTGGAGTGCAGTGGGACAATCATAGCTCACTGTGACCTCGAACTCCTGGGCTCAAGCAATCCTCCCACCTAAGCCTTCCAAGTAACTAGTATTACAGGTGCTCACAACCATGCCCAGCTAATTTTTAATAAAATTTTTGTAGAGATGGGATTCTGTCATGTTGCCCAGGTTGGTTTCAAACTCCTGGCTTCAAGCCATCCTCCTGCCTTGGCCTCCCAAAGTGCTGGGATTACAGGCATAAGCCACTAAGCCCAGCCTGTTTTTATTACGTTTTTCTTTTTCCACCTATATTTCAGAAGATGCCTGTTTTTATTACCTAAGATGTGATTTTATTTTTTAAATTTATCAAAAATTAGTGGTATGCTTCTATATTCTTTGTCTTCCAAGAATACTGAAGATTGAGATACAATGGGATAATGTTTAACAGCTTGGCTCTGAAGTCAGATTGCCTGAATTCAAATCCTACTCTGATACTTACTTAAAAATCCTCATTTCTTGGCCAGGCACAGTGGCTCATGCCTGTAATCCCAGCACTTTGGAAGGCCAAGGCAGGTGGATCATGAGGCCAGGGGTTCAAGACCAGCCTGGCCATATGGTGAAACCCTGTCTCTACTAAAAATACAGAAATTAGCTGGGCATAGTGTCAGGCGCCTGTAATCCCAGCTTCTCAGGAAGCTGAGACAGAGAACTGCCTGAACCCGGGAGGCGGAGGTTGCCGTGAACCAAGACCGTGCCACTGCACTCTAGCCTGGGTGACTGAGTGAGACTCCGACTCAAAAATAAAATAAAACGAATCCTCATTTCTCTTTTATAAAACAGTAATTGTGAGGAGTAAAACATATACAGCATGAAAATACATTAATACATTGTCTTACAAATAAGTATTAATAAATAATAACTATTTGTAATTATTCTTTGAGGTTCACATCTCTTGGCATTCATGCCCTTGCGTAGCCTTCCCACGCTGAATACGACTGACTTGTATAACCAGGACACTGCAGAAATGGCAAAGTAGGATTTCTGGGGCTAAGTCACAAAAGAGACTGTGACTTTCACCTTGTTTACTCCTGGATCACTCACTCTGGGGGAAGCCAGCTCTTATGTCATGAGGATACTCAAGCAGCTCCATGAGCCATGTTGGAAGAAAATGTTCCAGCTGAGTCAAGCCTTCAGGAAATGGCAGCCTCAGTTAATATTTTAGTTCCACCTTCAGGAGAAACCAAGATCCAGAGCCACCCAGCTAAGCTGCTCCCAAATTCCTGACTCACAGGAACTGTGAGAAAATAAATGTTCTGGGGTAGTTTGTCACACAAAAACAGATAATAAAGCTGTTTACCAAAAACATGTGAAAAGACAGTGGTTTCTGCTGTGAGAAAGAGGAATACAGAAGACATAAAAACGGAGAGGAATAGGAATAGAGCTAATCAAATGAATAGAATAAATCAATGTATTCAAAATATTTTAGTCTGTCATTATTTCTTGGTTTCTAAGATCATTTAATTATCTTCTTTGTCCTTAGCTATATGCTCTAAACTTTGAAATACATATTTTGCTTTTTTTTTTTTTTTTTTTTTGAGATAGAGTCTCACGCCCTGTCACCCAGGCTGGAGTCCAGTGGTGCAATCTTGGCTCACTACAACCTCCACCTCTCAGGCTCAAGCAGTTCTCATGCCTCAGCCTCCAGAGTAGCTGGGATTACAGGCATGCACCACTATGCCCACTAATTTTTGTATTTTTAGTAAAGACAGGGTTTCACCATGCTGGCCAGGCTAGTCTTGAACTCCTGGTCTCATGTGATCCACCCACGTCAGCCTCCCAAAGTGCTGGGATTACAGGCATGACCCACAGTGCTTAGCCAGAAATGTTTTTTTTTTCTTCATTTAAAAAATCTTCTAAGTATTCACATGTACAATTTTATTATATAATAATCTATTTACAAAAAAAAAGTTCACTGTTGAGACACTATTCACTTCAAAGCTTCTACTATGTGCAAGGCACTGTGCTAAATGCAAGAGGAGACTAAAAGATGAAGATAAACAGTTGTTAACATCATGGAGCCTCAATTGCATAGGAGAAACAAACATGATGAATCCAGTCATGAATCAGAAAGTAGTATACTTTCAAATATTTGTGGAATAAATACAAGAGATAGGTAATTCTGAGACTATACTACAACTGGAAGAGTCAGAGTGGAAATGTGTCAGGAAAGCCTTCCTATAGAGAT